TAACTGACAAGTAAAAATAATTATTTGCTCGTCCATTTATTATATTATTCAGAATGTAAGACATAGTCATTGATGTAGAATCCCCACTACCATCTCCAGAAGATGTAGATGACTCCAGAAGATGACTCCAGAAGTCATCTACAGCTTCATATGACCAGGTGTACAGAGCTCCTCGTGAATTTATATATTCATTTCGTTTAAATATTTACACATATAAATTGGTTTCAACAAGCATTAACCTATACTATGTCCTATGTGTTCCTCACACACTCACACCCTCTCCTCTCTCTCTCACTACTCTCCTTCTCCCTCCCCCTTTTCTCTCCTACTTTCAAATTCACGCGGCGCCATCTTGTCGTAATCCATTCGTCCCTTGGGTCTCTGGTTGTTTCAACAAGCCTAGAACCCAAATCTCTGAGGAAACGCTTTCCATTTTATCCTCGAGGGGACCCAGCTTCTGAGATCCTGCAGGAACCAAATTGAATTGGGTGGTTCAGATCCTCGTACCTATTTGACCTAGCAGTTTTCCCTATGGCACGCTCCAAGTGCCTGATCTATGCTCAAGATACTGGTGGTATGAGACTGGATCGGTACATGTGGGAAGTACCACACTGGTATGCTTTATTCCATTTTGATGTCCAAACAGGGTCGGTAGATTTGTTGAGCAGACAATAGTGGTTTCTGTCTGCTGTGTACTAGGTGCAGAGAGGTTCCTCTTGTCCAAGAGAATATATATATATATATATATATATATATATATATATATATATATATATATATACAAACAGCAATAGAGGGTTATTATTACCATAGCCCGTGCTACTTGGAATATATATATATTGGTTAATAAGGTGCAGTAGTGGGGAGATCATTAAACTACTGGAAATTAATGTGAAAGGAGAAGTTCTAAAACTTGTCTATCAGTATAATTACCTTTGGTGAATGACTGACAAAAAAATGGGAGTTTGTGTAGGAGAAATTGAGAGAGGAGAATGTGGGACGGTGGAATGGAAGCCTTTGTTTTCAAGACCAACATTTTTAGTTACAACCTGTGGACCTTTGTAAATGAGTGGTGGAATATGCATTAATGTACGTGTGTGTGTGTGTGTGTGTGGAATGAGGGTGAGGTAGAGAATGTAATTTATGTTGATTTATGCATAATTAAGGCTTTGATTTTGCTAGATCCGGCGTTTTTGCTGTGGTGACTTTAAGATGTCGTACGTACTGGAAGTGAATAAGCTCATCTTAAGGCGAAGTGTCCGATATGGTTAAGTGCATCTTAAGTTTAATGTTGACACTGAATTTGTAGGGTTTTACTCGTGTTTTCTCTTGTCATCTGGTCATGTACTCTGGGAATGTACTCTGGGAATGTACTCTGGGAATGTACTCTGGGAATGTACTCTGGGAATGTATTCTGGGAATGTACTCTTTCATGTCCTCATTCATGTACACTTGTCCTGTTCTTGTTTGTGTTCTCTGGTATTATCCTTGTTCATATCCTCTCATTCTATCCTTGTTTATATGTCACAATCACGTCCCCTCTTAAGAACAAATCTCGTGATGAACATTTGAACATTTCTACTTCTTGTCAACATCTGAACATCCTCAATTTCTCATTCGTTTTTTTGGCTAAAGTTCCACGCTTGGATTGCACTTTCTAGTTGAGGTCAGGCCTAAGTTGTGCTGAAGATCTGAAAGTTTGCTCATTAAGGCGTCTGAAGCTTTTGCTAATGTTAGGAAACTCTGAAGACTGAGCTGAATCCTCTTGCTATTGTCTCAAGTGAAGGGCTTCAGGGAATGTCTATTTCCTAAATGTTTCTGAAAAAAGAAAATTATTTTTTTTCTTGATGTGGGTGTCGATCAATATGTTTTTGTAAGTTTTTGAACTTCTGTATTATTCAGAAGTAGATTCTATGTTTTTTGAACTTCTGTATTATTCAGAAGTAGATTCTATGTTTTTTGAACTTCTGTATTATTCAGAAGTAGATTCTATGTTTTTTGAACTTCTGTATTATTCAGAAGTAGATTCTATGTTTTTTGAACTTCTATATTATTCAGAAGTAGATTCTATGTTTTTTGAACTTCTGTATTATTCAGAAGTAGATTCTATGTTTTTTGAACTTCTGTATTATTCAGAAGTAGATTCTATGTTTTTTGAACTTCTGTATTATTCAGAAGTAGATTCTATGTTTTTTGAACTTCTGTATTATTCAGAAGTAGATTCTATGTTTTTTGAACTTCTGTATTATTCAGAAGTAGATTCTATGTTTTTTGAACTTCTGTATTATTCAGAAGTAGATTATATGTTTTTTGAACTTCTGTATTATTCAGAAGTAGATTCTATGTTTTTTGAACTTCTGTATTATTCAGAAGTAGATTATTTCCACCTTATGGGAGCAGGTATAGTGCTTTCCATTACCATGGTGTATTGCAAGGATTAACCTTTTAGTTCCCAATGGAACATGACCAGCTAATTGATCTACAACCAGGTACAAAAATTCTGATGAATGAATAGGGTTGAACAGCTAAGAATTGGTGCCCAGTCAATCCTTCCTGCCTTAGGACTTGCTATCAAGGCGTGAGAAGAGCATGCTATCATAATGGGTCTTATATTTATGATCAATGTCCTTTTATATTTGCCTGTCTGCTTATTTAATGACTTGAGGGCTTTAGATCTTGGTTTTCATGTATCCCATTCTGCTTTCAATTCCCTGAGAGCATTCTACTTTTCCCCATGTTCTCACGTGTCGAGCGCTTCCTTCCTGCTCTGAGTGCCTCGGGTTGTTTTCGGTTTATTACACCCTCATCTCTACAGTCAGGAGGAACTTAATCCATTAGCTTCTCAGGTTTTCTGTGCAAGGAGTCTGTCATTGCTAGTAGGGACATTCCAATGTCTCAGTGGCCTCAGTATTTGACGAATTACGTTATTTCAACGTTAATTCAATGTTAAATGAATTGGTGTATTGTGGCGTCTATAGAAAAAATGTCATTATGTGATTCATATTTCTTATGATGACTTTTATGTAGTCATTGAACCTTTCATAATCCTAAATTATCATCTCAAATCTCCCGTCTTTCATTTTAATTATGTCCCTTCCTCGTATTGTTTTTATTTATTATATGGCAGCAATTACGATAAACTGAAGTTATTGTTGACCAGACCACACACTAGAAATTGAAGGGACGACGACGTTTCGGTCCGTCCTGGACCATTCTCAAGTCGATTGTGAACTTCGTTTTGACAATCGACTTGAGAATGGTCCAGGACGGACCGAAACGTCGTCGTCCCTTCAATTTCTAGTGTGTGGTCTGGTCAACATACTTCAGCCACGTTATTGTGACTCCTCGCCTGAAGTTATTATGACTGACAGTTTAGTTTCTGTAAGTGCTATTATATCTGGCTTCTTTTTATGCATCTATTCTCTGAACTTTGGTAACGTGTTTGTTATATGATCTAAGTTTGTGTATATGACTTCACAACACATGCCTTTTGAATCCGGCTCCTTCAACCTCTGTGATCTCGGTGTTTGCTGATAGGAAAGTACTCAAAATAGGTAGGTAAGGAGAGTGTGACGTCCTCTGTGTCGGTATGGAGACTAATAGGAAATTGGGATTGAAATGGGGGAACTACTAGAAAATAGGTAAAGGGGTGACTGGCTGTTATGGGATACGTCGAGAAGATCATGTTGTTTCGCAGTGTAGAATGAGAGGTGGGAAAGTGAAACACTATAAATAGAGTGAAAGAGTTTGAATTTTAGGGCCGAAAAGGATTAGGGGAGAAATTTTAGGGATTCAGTTAGAAGGCGGAGGCAGAGAGCTAGGGAAATGGGATTAGTTTTTTTAGGGTCATGCAGGCCTTAATGGGATTAGCTTTTTAGGGTCAAGGGATGCACGGGGCAAGGAGGGAAATAGGTGTTGGCCTAAAATAATGTGTGTGTTCGTATGTAAATGTGTTTATGTGTTCGTTTAAGTCTAGATACTCGTATGTACATGAGTCGGTCATTAAACTTTAGGTCATCAAAGCGAGTCCGCATTGCAGAGTATTCAGTAGAGTAGCTCTTAGAGCCCAGAACTGCCTATCAAAATATATGTTTTGGGAGTGAAAAAGACGATAGTGTAGTGATGATGATTTTTGGAGGTAGATGAAAGGGGGGATGCTGATAGTGGTGTTGATGGTGAAGATAGTGCATATAGACCAGGTTATATCGCTGTCATAGTAAGATAAATGCATCAACACATTTTCCTCCAGGAAAATGTCTACCTCAGGTAGAGAGGATCTGTGAGGAGACACAGACTTACAGCATCATCACGTTGCATAAGATGCAGCCATCATGCTGAATTATGCTGTATCTTACCATCAAAGTAACAATGCTGTTATCTATCCAATCACCAAAATAACAACAATTACCCTTAACCAAAGTAATCAAGTAATGAAACTAATCAAGATAATCCAAATATTAATGTAAACAATTAATCGAGATAATCATAGAATCAAAATAATCAGATTTGCTAAGTAAAAACACCCATAATCACCCACGCCAATCACAAATATACCATCAAAATCACATTCCCAATGAATCAATTTACCGAAGCAGCAACAATCCTTATCTTGAGGTTATCTTGAGGTTATCTTGAGGTTATCTTGAGATGATTTCGGGGCTTTAGTGTCCCCTCGACCAGGCCTCCACCCCCAGGAAGCAGCCCGTGACAGCTGATTAACTCCCAGGTACCTATTTACTGCTAGGTAACAGGGGGCATTCAGGGTGAAAGAAACTTTGCCCATTTGTTTCTGCCTCGTGCGGGAATCGAACCCGCGCCACAGAATTACGAGTCCTGCGCGCTATCCACCAGGCTACGAGGCCCCTTGCGATCCTTGCGTCAAACTCATCCACCCAACATATCCACATTGCGTCATGACACAATAGGACAAACCAGGTATTTTTCCCCACTCCCCCAAAAGACATTAAAAAGCCACTCCCCTTCTCTACTTTTTTTTCCAGGATCTGGTGATGGGTTCCAGCGGTTCTTGGTGACTCCAGAGAGTGTAGAGGTGATGGAAGGAGCTGATGTGTTCCTCCACTGCATTGTGGAGAACCAGCAAGGCAAAGCTCAGTGGACTAAAGATGGTTTTGCTCTAGGTATGTGTATATGCCTCTCTCGTCTATGTTTCAACAATATGTCCCATATTTCTATATTTCTACAATATACCTGGTTGATACCTGGTTGATGGGGTTCTAGGAGTTCTTCTACTCCCCAAGCCCGGCCCGAGGCCAGGCTTGACTTGTGAGAGTTTGGTCCACCAGGCTGTGATGTCTCATACTTCTATATAACTCCAATATGTCCCATACGTCTCCAATATGTCCCATACTTTTATGTTTCTCCCATATGTCTCATAGTTCTATATAACTCCAATATGTATCATACTTCTATGTAACTCCAATATTTCTCATACTTCTATATAATTCCAATATGTCTCATACTTCTATATAACTCCAATATGTTTCATACTTCTATATTTCATAGAAGTATGTCTCATACTTCTATATTTCATAGAAGTATGTCTCATACTTCTATATTTCTACAATATGTCTCATACTTGTATATTTCTCCCATATGTCTCAAACTTCTATATTTCATAGAAGTATGGCTCACACTTCTATATTTCTACAATATATCCCATACTTCTATATAATTCCAATATATCCCATAATTCTATATTTCTCCAATATATCCCATTAACCTATAAGAATCAGAAAACAGCATTTTCTTTAATAAAACACGTGCAAACAGTTGGCGAAAAACATCTGAGAGAACGTGACAACAACTACTCAACAGATGTCTTTCTGTTCCCTTAACTGAATATTTCTCTTAAGCGAATTGTGAGATAACACGTGTAGAGTAGATAGCAGATATCGCTTTAGGGAAGTGGCAAGTTCAGTGACTCAGAGAGGAAAATGAGAACGAGTCACAATAACGTGGCTGAAATATGTTGAATTGACTTGAGAATGGTCCAGGACGGACCGAAACGTCGCTGTCCCTTCACTTTCTAGTGTGTGGTCTGGTTATCAAGAAAAAGATAAATTTTAGGACCATCTACCCCCCCAAAAATGAAAGGGATTGAAAATATGTCCGACATCAGCAAAAATCAAATGGAGAATAAAGAAAGTAATTGGGTTGTTTCTGAAGAATTGGGATTGTTGCTGAAGTAATGGAATTAATGCTGAAGTAATGGTTTTTTTGTTGAAGCTCAGTGAAAACCCATTTTCTGTGCTCTCCCTCACGAATGTATGGGTAAAAATGAGGGACCTAAATAAGACAAGCAAGGTGAATGAATGGTCATTTTCTTACCTGAAGAACAGATAGCAGGCATGCTTCCCTGGGGGCATGGATGAGGGAGGTAAGCCAATGGGACAGATATCAGCTTGAGTGTAATGAGAACTATATCCTGCTATCTTCCACAATGCAGGAGGAAGTGGCTACAGGGAGGAGGAGGGGGGGGGGTAGATTATAGAGAGCAGGATAAGGAGTTGACTACAATATTCACCAAGACACTATTGTACTTAGCAAGACATTACAACACTCACCGAGCCCCTACAACATCTCCCAAGCTACTACAACACCCCCTAAAGCCACTACAACACCCATCAAGCCACAACAATCTCCACCACAACACCCCCAACGCCACCTGGGCTGAGGTCAACACCCCTCCACCACTCCACCCTCCACCACTCCACCCTCAACCCACTAACTCCCATTCTTCTCACTATAGAATTTCAAGGCTTATAACCTTACAAAACTCTAATTCCCCTTTAACCTGTGTAAAAAACCTATGTAGAATTACACAGATGAAAAATCCCACGTAAATGGAAAAGTTGCAATGAGACAGGACCTAAAAAAACTCTAATTCCCCTTTAACCTGTGTAAAAAACCTGTTTACACAGATGAAACACAGATGAATTACTGTTTTACACAAGAATTACACAGATGAAAAATCCCACGTAAATGGAAAAGTTGCAATGAGAGAGGACCTAAAAAATAAATTCATGCAGGTTCCTGTTTTGCAACTAAGCAGCGTGGGCCGTTGGGAAATTTGTGGTTCCTCTTGGAAGCGGGAGTGTAAATCGTATTATACCCCTGGGAGGAGGTGGAGGCTCGTAAAACTCGTCTGAGACTTTGATATTGGTTGATATGATGCGGCTAAGAAAGGCCAAAGAAAGGGAGTGTCGCCTGTGTAAGATGCAATGTCTCTATTGACATGTTTGTAGCACTTGCGTATGTCGATGTAGCACTTGCGTATGTCAGCTTCCTCGTATGTGCTGCGTACAGGTGCGTTCGGAGTTCCAATCTTACAGGTGTGTTCCAATCTTACAGGTGCGTTCGGGCGTTCCAATCTTACAGGTGCGTTCGGGGTTCCAATCTTACAGATGCGTTCGGGGTTCCAATCTTACAAGTGCGTTCGGGGTTCCAATCTTACAGGTGCGTTCGGGGTTCCAATCTTACAGCTGCGTTCGGGGTTCCAATCTTACAGATGCGTTCGGGGGTTCCAATCTTACAGGTGCGTTCGGGGTTCCAATCTTACAGATGCGTTCGGGGTTCCAATCTTACAAGTGCGTTCGGGGTTCCAATCTTACAGGTGCGTTCGGGGTTCCAATCTTACAGCTGCGTTCGGGGTTCCAATCTTACAGATGCGTTCGGGGTTCCAATCTTACAGATGCGTTCGGGGTTCCAATCTTACAAGTGCGTTCGGGGTTCCAATCTTACAGGTGCGTTCGGGATTCCAATCTTACAGGTGCGTTCGGGATTCCAATCTTACAGGTGCGTTCGGGCGTTCCAATCTTACAGGTGCGTTTGGGGTTCCAATCTTACAGATGCGTTCGGGGTTCCAATCTTACAGGTGCGTTCGGGGTTCCAATCTTACAGGTGCGTTCGTGGTTCCAATCTTACAGGTGCGTTCGGGGGTTCCAATCTGTCCTCTCAACAACTGTATTCCGTTTTCTACATTATAGTAACTAGCGTTACAAACGCAGCCTACTGTGATAAGTAGAGGCTCACAGACATCTACGTTTTCTAGCTGTAATGTCTTCCGCTTCTATCTTCTCTCACTTGGGCTGGACGGTAGAGCGACGGTCTGGCTTCATGCAGGTCGGCGTTCAATCCCCGACCGTCCACAAGAGGTTGGGCACCATTCCTTCCCCCCCCCTTCCAAGTGCTATATAGTCGTAAAGGCTTGGCGCTTTCCCCCCGATAGTTCCCTTCCCTTCTATCTTCTCTCGTAATGATAAGAGATAAGCTGTACGAAGATTGTTTTAATGATTGATAGCAGGAATACCATTCTCCTGGGCTGTATGGGGGCTCGAACCCTGATCCGTACGCGTGTGTGAGGCCGAAACTTAATTGACTGGGCTATGAGAGGACTTAAAAAGGACAGTTCCAATTCCCTTCAATTAGATCCCATATCACCTTTTCATCCTTATAAACCTAAGTAAAGGAAATTTACTCAAGTCATTTACAAATGAGGTTGTTTACAACAATAATTACCTCGTGTTGTAAGGCTTCGAGGGCCTTTAAACAGTTTAAAAAAAAATCTAAACAAATATACCACAATTAAGGGAAGATGAACAGGTTTCGTAAACGCTGGCATAATAGTTGATGAACCTAGGCTCTGGCTAACATATCTTGAGGTTATCTTGAGATGATTTCGCGGCTTTTAGTGTCCCCGCGGCCCGGTCCTCGACCAGGCCTCCACCCCCAGGAAGCAGCCCGTGACAGCTGACTAACACCCAGGTACCTATTTTACTGCTAGGTAACAGGGGCATAGGGTGAAAGAAACTCTGCCCATTGTTTCTCGCCGGCGCCTGGGATCGAACCTGAGACCACAGGATCACAAGTCCAGCGTGCTATCCGCTCGGCCGACCGGCTCCCCGCAGTTTTCTCAGTCAGTCAGTATCCTCAGTTTCAATTATATTTTGAAGTGCTATCGTTCCGGCGGCCGAGTCGCCCTTGTCATTGAATTCCTCTTAATTGCAAGTCTTCGAGAATAGGAGACATGATAGAGGAAGCCATTAAGACACACGTTTACTTAACTAACCCCTTATAAGCCAGTGGCTATGGAGATTTCTCCGGTGGTAGGCGAATGGGTGATGACATTTCGGCAGCTCTGGCTGGCTAGATAGGCAGGGTTCGTGCCTAGCATGCATGTAAATCCCCAGTTCGAATCCAGGATGGTTGTCTTATATTACTGGTGCATAACACGCCCTCGGAAGGCAGGTGAATGGTCAATGTTATCAAATCTATCAACCTTTTTTTACCTGTGTTTAATGACCCAATCTAAACTATATTATTTTGCACCGAAAGATTCATCCTCTCAGTATTCCTTATATACAGAAGCTACAAAAGTCAAGATTTGACTTATAACCTTCGGTGTAGAGCAGGTTGCATCAGTTAGTTTGTTTGTCTCAGGTGTTTGTCTCAGGTGTTTGTCTCAGGTGTTTGGCTCAGGTGTTTGGCTCAGGTGTTTGTCTCAGGTGTTTGGCTCAGGTGTTTGGCTCAGGTGTTTGGCTCAGGTGTTTGGCTCAGGTGTTTGGCTCAGGTGTTTGGCTCAGGTGTTTGGCTCAGGTGTTTGTCTCGGGTGTTTGGCTCAGGTGTTTGGCTCAGGTGTTTGTTTCAGGTGTTTGGCTCAGGTGTTTGGCTCAGGTGTTTGGCTCAGGTGTTTGTCTCAGGTGTTTGCCTCAGGTGTTTGGCTCAGTTGTTTGGCTCAGGTGTTTGGCTTAGGTGTTTACTCCAGATGTTTTAAATTTTCACGATTTCACTATAAAGTCCATGGGCAAGAATTTCTTACACACATATACACAAGGGAGCCGGTCGGCCGAGCGGACAGCACGCTGGACTTGTGATCCTGTGGTCCTGGGTTCGATCTCAGGCGCCGGCGAGAAACAATGGACAGAGTTTCTTTCACCCTATGCCCCTGTTACCTAGCAGTAAAATAGGTACCTGGGTGTTAGTCAGCTGTCACGGTCTGCTTCCTGGGGGGTGGAGGCCTGGTCGAGGACCGGGCCGCGGGGACACTTAAGCCCCGAAATCATCTCAAGATAACCTCAAGATAAGATAACTACTTCTGAAACCTTTACGTCATTTGTTT